TGCCATTTGGTTTAATTCTACCCATGCCCTTTTGTTTACCTCTAGCCCCTTGTACAGGTTCTCGGCCGAGCGTCGGCGCCGTACTCACCTGTGTGTGTTCGCTGGTGGGCCTTGAGGTGCGAGGATTTCGTGTAGACTTTCTTACAGCCTGGGAAGAGGCACTTGTGCACCCGTCGCTTGGCATCCGGGGACGAGTCTGCTGCCCGAGCGTGCACGCCCATGCTCATGTCCCGGACGCCCATACTGAGGCTACTGCTGTTGTTGCTGCTGCTAGTCTTGAGGGGCAGGGTGGTGGCGAAGGATATAAACTTTGGCACTTGTGAGCGAGCGTGAACCTTGAGGAGTGTGTGAGTGTGAGTGACCGGAGAGGTTTCGGGGGAGGAAGGCGGGGTCAGCGTGGCGATATTGGGTGCCGACTTGGCCGTCAGCAGTTTCGTTGCTGCAAAAAAAGATGTCCCTGACCCTCGTCGCACGCCGGCCTCGAGGCGCGAGTCGGCAGCCATGTCTTCGGAGGACGCCCACGAGATGAGAGCCCGGCCCCGAGTGGGACTCTGGCCGCCGACGCTCACGGGGGCTTCAAGGTCGCCCTCCAGGGAAGCCAGCGACGAAGCCGACGAGGAGGACGACACGGACACCGAGTCCAGCGACCGCTCCGAGCCGCACATGTCGTCCTGGCTGAGAGGGTCGTCCAGGTCTTCTAGGGGCTCGCTCTTGACTACCACCTCCTCCTCCTGCGGCTCCTGCTTGCAGGGCTCCTCCCCCTCGCACGGCTCCTGCTTGATATTCAGGTCGGAGCTGAGGGCCTCAGTCTTGACCTTGACGAGGAGCCGGGGATGTCTGCCGCCCTTGATGGGCCTCCCGAGCTTGGTGTAGAGACGCACAGGTGGCGAAGGGGAGTCGCGGGGGCACTCCTCGTACGAGCTCTGCCACGGGAACTCCAGCTCGCAGCCGCCCAGCTTCCGGCCGCCGACCTTGGCCCGAGGCTCATCCTTCAGGTACCGGTCCATCTCGTAGCAGTTCTGGAAGAAAACACAGGGCGGTTACTACAGCGAAATGCGTCGGAGAACAACCACTTGCAAAACAAACATGCGATGAAGTTGAATACATTGCGCCATCAAATAAATTCTGATGGATTTAATGTCTGGTAAAACAAACGATCACTTCTTGTACACCCTAAGGTTCAAAAAGTCAAACCACAGAAATAAATTATCGAACGAATACAGAAACTCACAAGCTAACTCGTTTGATTAGCATACATTTCCACAACTACTTTTTTTCTCGATAATACAGAATTACAAAAACCGCAAGCAACATTCCACCATCACTGCTAAATTACTGAATGCTCAATCCCACATAGCAAGCTTTATGTCCATTTCAAGGCATTTAAAAACATTACAATGGCAATTTCCGGACTCTTCATAACGCCTAGATTCTTCCCTCCCCTTCAGATGGCAACGTCGGTGCTAAATGGATTTCTTTCAAGTCTCGCGCATCAAAGCATTTTGCAGATCGCACCAGAGACAACTTGTAAGAAAAGCCTGATGCTTGGAGAACTTCGAAACTCGATTCCTTAGTAAGAGACTGAACTATATTTGCCTTGCGCTGAAAACGTTTAAAAAACCGTGCGTCATTACATAAACTCGTATGTAAGGTATCTTTATTTCTATCAGCAACGGTTATTGCTATTATCAGAATTGCTGTTACTTTTATCATTCAAATCTTAATTATAACTTATGATAATCACACTAACCATCATCAGTAGTTTCTTTACTACTATGGTTATGATCATTGCAGACGAGCAGACTGCAACACCAAAATTTTTAATATATCTGAGATAATGACAAAAAAAAAAGAAAAAACAGCATTGATGTACAGTGATATGAAGCTTCAAGGATGATTAAGTAAGAATTATTTTAAAGCTTAACAGAACACCAAGAATAAATCCATCACTGAAAATAAACATCATAAAAAGTTCTCTAATAGAGAAAGACAAACACTTTCGTGAAGACGCGTCGACAAGGCCATGACTTTACAAACAGCCGCAAAATTCATGCAATTCTCCTGCGTTCAATAAAGCTTCCACCAGAAACACTTATAAACGAAAGGTTGCAAAAGCAAATACTCCCTAAGTTACAGCGTAAATAATCTCTCGAGGTATGAAAGCTGTTCGGGCAACCTGCTTACGCTCCCTCCCCCTCCCCTCCGACTTTCGTCATCGCTCATCCCCAAAATGTGCCAAACAGCGAAACGTGTTACCACATAACTCCAAAATACACGTTCCTGTTTTATCCGTTACAGCTGCCGTTCGTTCCACAGTCCCCACCCCCTTTGCAACCCCACCCCAGAAGATAAGAGCTGTGTCAACACTAATAACTTTACAGCAGTGGTACTAGGCATGTGGCGGCCGTAGTGCGGACAGGGGTCGAGCGAGTGCAGCTGCAGCCGGCTTGTTCATTAACTACATTAAGTTGAAGAATCTAGACGCCTACTTGAGTGCCTC